CTCGTGCAGACTTATGACCCAAAGCTGGACAATACCCACAAGTCGGAACGCAAGTTCGCACTGAAGTGGTCCGCGCCACATGTTGTTGTCTCTCGGAAGCTCAACTCATACCGCCTTGCAACACTCAGCGGCCGCCACCTGGACCGCGACTACCACGCGAATCATTTACGTGGATTTGTGGTCGGCCCAAACTCAAGGATCGGAGATATAGCAGAGGAGAGGCTGATATTCAACAGATCTGGACTCCCCGATAGCAAGATCCTGGGCACAGAAGAGTAATAGCGCAACAAGGACGTGCGCGAAGTGGGAGGGGGAGCCTGGAGCTGCGGAGACAGCTCCGTGATCGACAGTGTGGCGGTGTAGATATGCTTGGTTGTGCTTGGTAGTGACACCGTGTGTAGCGGCAACGCCGCGTAGTTAGCCCTCCCCAAGTTGTTCTCCACCAGTGCCTAGCACCTCGTGAGCATCTCCAGCGCCGTCGGCGCGTCAGCAGATGACTGGTAGATTTACAGTTTACCTTGTACTCAGCAATGTACAGAAGTGACAAAGACTACATAATCAGGTTACTGTGAATTCTTCAAACTGTTGTGCTTTGGGTAGTAGATACTTGGCTAAATCCTCAGTGGCACTACTTAATTAGCTTGAACGATGACATGCCTATGGAGGACACTCATTGATTCCTGCCCAGGGCGTCCGCAATAATGAGACTGGATCACGTGAAAGTGTTTCGGCGACCTTGCTGACTCATCGAAACTGCACATGACCGATCAATTTCAGGACCAGAGGAACTCAACGCTTGTTAACAAGAATACATACATACAATATGATATCTAACTAGTGTGTACATTAACTAGCATTTATAAACCTTACAGAGCACAAGCAACAAAGTACAATGTGATATGCCGTGAATGATGCCGAACATGTGCAGCGATCCATCAATCAGACAGCGATCTCATTTCGCGCCGCGAATCAGCATGCTGTTCCCGGCCTCCATACCCGCCAGCACCCCCGCAACTACCCTGCCACTGATTGACCCCCGCCATCACCCCCGCCACACCGGTGCCTCAGCCCCTGCCATCTCCGAATATGTAATATTATGTAAAGTGACAGCCCGGAACACATCAAGTCAGTAGCCAATCAGGACCTGTATAAATGTCATACCTAACTATGTTTTGCTCTTCTGAGACTGTTTTTACATATATGCAGCTAAAAACCATCGGAATTATGTCTCCTTATGCTGTTCTTGTTGAATATAATGCCACTTCATGTCCTCTGTCAGCCCGAAATTCGAAACATGGAAACAGCTCATAGTGACTCAATGTTCCTATATAGAGAACACTTCAACATGGTTCACTTTGCATATTGTGCAAAATATATTTTCTGCAAGGGCCCAACTTCACACAGCCGAAGGATACACCCTTTGGCAATGCCTGAACAAAATCTGGGGAGTGCTGGACCCTGTAACGATTCAAAAATATGAAATAAATCCAAAGTATAGTGTGATTTATAATGTGGGATACGGGCCAGTTTAAAGAGATGTGAGCCTCTGGTCATCTTGAATATTGTTTCTAACAATGTTTCGGTCCTGTCGCGCAGCCTTGAATCGATAAAGATGACCCCTGTCCCCCAAGCCCGGACCGTCAGATGCCGTGATCCGTGATAAGATGATCCGTGTCGAGATAAGATGAGATCGTCGAGGATAAGATGAAAAAGAGTCGAATTATGACATTACCCCCTCTCTAGGGTCGATGTCCTCATCGACTAGGTCAATGGGCATGAAGACATTCTCGTAGGGATCGAAGAGTTGTCGCTGGGGATATGGAAGGCGCTCGTCCTTGGGTTTGTAGCGATGGATGAGATAATCCCAGTGTCCAGCTTCGAGCGTTGGCAGGAGGCGAATGCGTGTGTCTGGATTTGATTGTTTCCTCTGCCAGTCTCTCAGGACGTCCTTTGCGTGGGTAAGGTGACGTGATGGTTCCCAGGTGTTCTCGCTGTGCGGCCATCCCTTCCATTTGACCAAGTACTGTTTTCCTCGGCCGACTTTTCGCTCTTTCACAATTTCTTCGACTTCCCACTCCTCTGCTCCTCCGATCATCTTGGCTACGGGTCTCTTCTCTTGGCGATGGGGGGGGTGGTTCGTGATATGGTGTCAATAGTGACTCGTTGAACACCGGGTGTCTTCGGTCCGTGTCCAGCAAATCCAGCTTCCATGCGGCCGCTCCAACCTTCTCCAGTATCTCGTATGGTCCTAATCTCTTGTCGCTCATCTTCTTTGATGGTCTATCCGTCTCGATATTTTCCCCTTCTATGTACACCTTCATCCCAACCTTCAACTCCGGAACCTCTTTTCTTTGTTTATCGTAGTATTTTTTCATTTTTTCTTTTGCTTTTTCCAATGCTGCTTTTGCTTCGTCTTGTATTTCTTTGATTCTTTTTACAAACTCCTCTGCTGACTCGTTCCTTGACTCCATCCGCTGCTCCACTCCCTTCCATGGGTGATATCCGTGATTCGCGTAGAACGGTGATATTTTGGTAGACGTGTTCATCTTGTCGTTGTATGCGAACTCCGCCATTCCCAGCCACTCCGACCAGTCCGTCTGATGGTAATTGACGTAGATGCGGAGATAGTGCTCGATCTCCTGATTCATGCGTTCCATTTGTCCATCTGTGATCGGGTGATATGCGGTCCCTGGATTCATTTCCACGCCCAACATCCGATTTGTCTCCCTCATGAAGCCCTTGATGTAACGCGAATCCCTGTCGGTGATGATCTTGCGGGGGATCCCGTGGTAGCGGAAGACTTGGTCCCTGGTTAATCGTGCAACTCCTTCACTGCTGATGTCAGTACTGATTGGTTCGACATGGATCATTTTGGTGAAGGTGTCACACCACACATGAATTGCGTCATACCCGTTACTGACCGGTAGGGGTCCGATTTGATCCATGGAGATGATTTCCCACGGCGCATTTGGGACTGCATGCGGGTGCAGAGTCCCTGTCCTTGCTCTCCTGGTCTTGGTCCGCTGGCACGCCTCGCACGTCTGGATGTATTTCCGGATTTGGTTCCCCATCCTAGGCCACCAGTAGTTCCTTTCCACCATTTCCTGCGTTTGATTGATCCCCGCGTGTCCGACCAAGGGTGTGTCGTGGTGTAGCCCGATGATCTTGTCTCGCAGTTCCTCGTCCCTCGGTACGTAGAGCTTCCCGTGGTATGTGATGAGCCCGTCTTCCTTTTTCCATCCAGCGAGTGACTTCTCCAAGGCCGCTTTGACGCTTCCATCAATCGATCGAGTTGTCTTGATCTCATCAACTAGCTGCTGATCTTGTCCCTCGAATGTGACTTCTTGTGATCGGAAGAACTCGGGCTTCAGTAGCGTGACGTCCTTGTTGTCATTCTTGCCCTGATCGTGATCCGCTCGTCGAGATAAGAGATCCGCCTTGCGGTTGAGTGCGCCGGGCCGGTGTCGTAAGGTGAAATCAAACTCCGCCAACTCCGTGATCCATCCTGCTTGCCGTCGATTGAGCTTCTGCGGCTTCCGAAAGTACTCGAGATTCTGATGATCGGTGAAGATCTCGAACGTTTCCGTGGCTCCCAGGAGCAACTGCCTCCATTCGTCAAGCGATAACATGATTGCAAGCATTTCCTTGTCGTAGATCTCATAATTTCGCTTGGTTTCGGTCAATGCATGCGAAATAAATGCGATTGGGCGCCAAATGCCGTCTTGGTTTTGGCTCAAAACGGATCCTGTTGCCCCTTCTGAAGCATCGGCTTCCAGACGATATTGGCCGGTGTCATTTGGCAGTGCTAAGACCGCATCCTCCGCGATTCTCTTTTTCAACCCATCAAATGCTGCATGCTCATCTGTACCCCATGACCATCCTGCCTTCCCTGTCAGCCGAGTCAACGGCTTGGCGACCTCCGCGTATCCCCGGACAAAGCGTCGATAGAAGTTTGTGAACCCTAGAAATGCTTGGACTTGTTTGACGCTCTTTGGTTCCGGCCATTCCATCACGCCCTTGATCTTGACCGGGTCCATCCGCATCGAATTGTGTCCAATAATTACACCCAAATATTCGATTTCCATGCGTTCGAACTCGCACTTTTCGGGCTTCAGGTATAGCTTATGTTTCTGGAGCAATTCAAGCACTCGTTTCGTGATCCGCCAATGTTCGTCCAAGCTCTCTGTGAAGATCAGTATATCGTCCAGATAGACTACCACGTGAACCTCGTTGATCAACTCTCGGAGTATGTCGTTCATCATGTTTTGGAACATTGCCGGAGAATTCGTGAGACCAAAGAACATAACTAAGGGCTTGTACAGCCCTCGGTTCGTGCGGAATGCAGCCTTTCACTCGTCGCCCTCTTTGATCCGTACATTGTTATATCCCCACCGGATGTCAAGCTTGGTGAAGAACTTTGCGCCGCATAGATTATGGACCAGTTCGGAGATCAGCGGTAGCGGGTATCGATTCCGGATTGTCATCTCATTCAGCTTCCGATAATCTTGGACGGGGCGTAGCGCGCCATCCTTCTTCTTGACAAAGAAGAATGCTGATGCCATGGGTGATTTTGATGGCCTGATCCGTCCACTGGCCAGGTTCTCTTGCAAGAATTCGTTGAGTTTGACTTGTTCATTGCGTGATAACGGGTACACCTTGCAGTCCACTGCTTTGGAACCAGGTTTGAGCTCAATCGCATGATCCCATGCCCTTCGGTCCGGTAGTGAGTCGAACGATTCCTTGGCGAATACCTTGACAAATTCCCGATATTGATCCGGAATCTTTCCCTCGGTCATTCTCTCCTTCTCCTTTTCTGCTTCTTCTGCGAATTTCTGCGCCGGCGTTTCCTTCAGCCGCAGGTCCACTTCCTTCCCAAAATCGACCAACAAGATCGATTCTCCCTCTTCCAGATCCGGTGTGCCCATGTTCAGGTCAATTGCATCCATGTCAATCATCGCCTGATGTTCCTCGTGACCCCTCATGTGACACTGCTCTGGGCATCAGCTGAATTTCATAGTCTGCTCCTGCCAATCCACCTCGGGGTTGTGTTCCATCAGCCAATCAAGACCGATGAAGATCCGGGCTTTCCCTAAGCACGTCAGAAGGAACGTGCGTGTCTCCACGTGAGGACCAATTCTCATCCTCAAATCAACGTAGTGTGTGATCCGACCGCTGATGTTCTCGGTGTTGTCGGCATTACGAGCCACAATGGGTTGTGGAAGCTCTTGGATATCCAACTTCTCCGCCCGTGCGTAGTCGGTGTCGATACAGCAGGTACTGCAGCCGCTATCGAGCAGCGCCTTGACTCCGCGCGTTTTTCCTGAGTCTAGACCCGTGATCTGGACATACACATCCATCGAATGTCTCTTCCTTTCGGCCTGGTAGTTGCGCAGTTCCTGCGCCAGTCTGCTGGGTTGCGGGCCCTTCTGTCTCTCGGCTGCCCATTTCCTTTGAACGGCATCCGGCACCCTGGTGTGTTTGGGTGCTTCTGGAACCTCGATTTCGGCAGATTCCTTAGGCGCTTCCTCCTTTTCCAAGGATTGAGCCTTCGGAGCGATGCTCCCCTTTTCGGTCTTTGTTGACGTGGTTCCTTCTCCACGAGCCATAAATACGTATGAATCCAAAATTAATTTATCTGCAGCTTTCTGATCCTTTTTACTTTGTAAATACTCTCTATTTAAAGCTATTTTTCGTTGGCGTTCTTTTTCCATATCAGCAATGAGGAAATCGTGAATATTGGTACGTAGTGAGTCCGAGATTGTATATGTATGTGTAGAATTGTTCATGTCTTTAATTGAAACAAGTACAGAAAATCGTCCATAGTCCGGACGCTCCACCTCCTTGGCTAGAGGAGTGGAGCGCTTCAAAAACCCTTCTCACGCAGCTTCTCGGCAATCTCCTTGAGGAACTCGTTGTCCTTATCCCCGTTCTCGATCTCTTCCAGCATTGTGGCCCGATTGAAGAACGTGCGCTTCTTCTTGGGCTCCGGACAATTCCGCGCGATGTGCCCAGGCTGCTGACAGTTGTAGCAGATGATATTGCGGCCGCGGGCATGGGTGCGATCGATTTCCATCGGGACCGGTTCGTTGGCAGCCGGTCGGGTCGGAGCAGGCGTGGGCGCCGCTGGTGCTGCCTGAGGGCGGAATTGGGGAGGAGGCCGTGGAGTTGAGTGCGCATAGGAGGCCTTACGCAGCTGATCGCGCAAGGCATTGGCCTCGATGTTGACACACCAGTTCTTGAAGGCACCATATGCCTTGGGCAGGGGAACACCGGTGTTGTAGAGGCGGCTTGCAATTTCGCTGCTGAGTCCGCGCTCCAGGAACTCGATGAGGATGTTGTCCTGTTCCCCCTTCTTGTACTCGCCCTTGCTGTTGGTGGAAGTGACCACGTTGTACCCCGCGTCTGCAGCCAGCATTTCGAAGTCGGAGATGTAGTCCGCAAAGGACCGTCTGCCCTGGCGAAGGGCCATGAGTCGGGCGGCAGCGACTTGCTCTGCGTTGGAATCCCCAAAGGCCCTCTGAAGCTCCTCCAAGAAGCTTGTCGCGGTGACTCCCGCCTTTAGTCCTTGGAAGCCCTCGAAATTGTGCTGCTTCCAGTTCATCGCCCATCTTGAGGCGGCGCAGCTTGTGCTGCTCTCATTTTGGAGGTAGGACAGGACGAAGAGGATTTTTGTCTCGTCCAGCGAGAACTCTGACCAATAGGCACCGATGTAAGTGGTGCACGCGTCCACAAAGCCCAGGTACTTGGACTTGTCGCCATCAAAGTAGGGAGGATTGGCGGCAAGGGTGATGCGGTGATGTCCTGACATGGTAGGAGCAGGTGTGGTAGGTGGGGGCGAGGGTGGTTGTTCGGAGGGTAACTCGCCAAGGTCGGGGATCTCATCTTCAGGAGGCGGGAGGGCGAGGTAGGGGTTGGAGGACCCAGGTTGGTTTTGATGCGCCAGATCGGGCGACGATGGTAGGATGGGAGGAGGAGACGGACTCCCAGACGACGATGGGAATCGGAACGAAATGGTGGATTCGTGTGCTGTACAAGCACTCGAGGGAGGGTTCTTTTGCTAGCAAAAAGATCCCGGGCCTAGCTCTTCACGTGCCCGATGATCCCGAGGTGCGTTTTCCCGAAGGTCTCCGCAGCACTCCTTGTAGCTACCGTAAGGCTTGGGTCGGGCTCAACGTTACCCGTGGCCTGGTGCTGTTTGCTCGATATGAACCCTTCACTGCGATCGCAGAGGACGACTAGATGATTCGGTAAAAGGGTAAGTGGGGTGATAAGGATGAAGAGGATATAGCGGGCGTAGCGGTGTGGTGATGCAGGGTAGGAGGTAAGAGGTACGAGGGTATGAGGGGAGTCTTCGAATTATGTGACAATCAACAAGAAATAATGTCGAAAAGAGAACTGAATTCGAAGACTGGAGAATACAACCAGTTAGCTACAGTATTTATACCCAAATCCAGTCTGAGTCATATCTACAACTAATGAGTCATAGGGCTATGTACCGCATGGAACGCTGGTCATGGGTTGTAGTAGAATCTTCCGAAGCATATGTCGCGCAGCCTTGAATCGATAAAGATGACCCCTGTCCCCCAAGCCCGGACCGTCAGATGCCGTGATCCGTGATAAGATGATCCGTGTCGAGATAAGATGAGATCGTCGAGGATAAGATGAAAAAGAGTCGAATTATGACAGGTCCCCTACCTCCTACCAGACAACCTCTGTTCTCACTGGAACGTGCAAAACCCACCCAAGCTTGTAAAATCAATTGTTGCCCAGAAACAAGAGCAGTCAAGTTCCTTTGTTGGAATTGGGTAGAGGTAACCATGAAGTTGCTTGGGCTGCAGTATAAAAGCATGGGAATGTGTTTCTATGTGTGTTCATCTGGTCGCTCCACATTTGATTGGCCAGCAGGGGCTGGCGCACCCCCGCAGTCAACCCCGCCCAATCCCCTGCAAGAATTGTATTCACAAGGTTTCTGCGCAATTCTTTGTCAGGGTTCTGTGTATTAGCACACTCATTACAGTGTCTCAATGTGATGTTCACAGGTTATATTCAATCCAGCAAATGATGCTTGTAACAGCTGCATCAAATATGCTATTAAAGAGAGTGAAACATTGGGGATGCAGTCATCCTTAAAAAGCGGGAGGACCACTTCAGCTGTTCGGAAGGGGAGCAGTAGCCATGACTATTCCTGCTGATCAATGTAGCTGTGACTGGACAACCCCCTTGGGGGATTTGCTGAACACATGTGGTTGTGCATTTTTTAATATGTTAGCATCTTTTGAAGCTACAAACTCCACCAAAATGTACTGGCAAAACCATGCTGTAATCTCCTACCCCCCACCGAAACATTGGTAAATCACATGACTTGACCTGGAGACCCAGCCAAAACCATGTTCTGCTTGACTTCACATGCCATGGATTATATAGGTAACATCATCCATTAATCTCCTACCCCCCACCGAAACATTGGTAAATCACATGACTTGACCTGGAGACCCAGCCAAAACATGCGGGCAATGTTGTGTATCTTTATCCCCCATTCCCTGCCAAAATAGAGAAAAGTTACGTGATATTCTACAACCCTAGCCAGAGTAGATACATCAAAATTTTGTGTAATCCACCCCTGCCCCTGCTCCCCCACCAGACCCCGCATCAGACCCCGCACCAGACCCCGCACCAGACCCCGCACTGGGCCCTGCATCAATTGCAATATCCAGTTACACATCTTCACCTTCCCTATTGGCTTTGTCTACCTTGATAAGATATTTCATAAATGTTTGTATTCTTGCCCTGGTGGTCAGCAGCACTACTGCTACGGCTAAAGGAGGTCAAATATAGAATATGCCAGACTGACCCCGCGGCAGACCCCGCCAGATGATGGGATCAAGCGCATCAACAATCCTATTGTGCAGGGTGCATTTGGGGTTTTCTAAGCTCAAATGCATGGTCAATTAGTGTATTTACCTATGGAAATTATACTGGGATGATTTAGAGAGGCTTCCATTTTTTTTTTGGCGGAAAATCACGTGATTTTGCGCCCACTGTCTGCCACAACATGCAATCTATCAAGCAGCACCTCCAAAATCATGCCAAATGGTGCAAAAAGGGGCCCCCAAAAAGTCACGTGATAATGCGCCCACTGCCCGCTGCAGTGTGCGGGAGGGGCGGTAGCGCCCCCGCCAACGCCCCTGCCAACCCCCGCCATTTTGAAATTTTTCCTGCAGCTCATCACGTGATTTTCCCGCCATCCCGCCCATTTGGTGCATCATGTGATTGATTTTTTTTTTCCCGCCCAGCTGCCCGCTCTTATGGACAAGTCACATGGTATGTATGGGCACCCCCGTCCTGACCCCCGTCCTGACCCCCGCCCATCCCCCTGCCCCAAAATGGCCAGCTGCCCCCTGTACCCCCGCGGGGTCTATATGGGGGGTTGGCGGTGGTAACTGAGGTGGTTCCGCACGTGCATTTGATGTGTGACTGATGGGTATTCCCCATTCGGCCGTTGCTGGTCTGCAACATTGAGCATGCTCTATGCTTCGGGTCCTTGTCCCGATAACACTTTTGAGTATCGACTTGTGTAATCTAGTGTCATATGCATAAATTCGCCAAGTATCTCACTTACTGGAGAAATCAATCTACCGAACACATTGGTGATACAGTGAATGCGTCTCACTGTACAATTTCCACTGCGACCCCTGCCAAATAGATTGTTTTTAAACTTGTGGATACAGCAGATGATAAGGCTAGCTAGTTGAGGTTATTTTTTACTGGCTCTGCAGACCGTGGATGGGGCACAAATGCCTGAATTCTGTGACTGTATCACTGACCGATGGTGTATCACCGACCGGTTGATGACTGCAACTTGTCGAAGCCCTAGTTCCTTGACTTCTGAGTGAGGAATTGTAGGAAAACTCAAGACCAGAACGAAATGGGCGGTGAACCGGATTCGAGCTGCCAGTTTCTCATTCTAGCGGCCTAGGGAAGGCCAAAACTTGCATTAGGTGTCATCCCACGATCAGATGCAGGCCTAGTAAGTAGTCCTTGCAAACAGGCCAGGGACGTAACTGGCCTGGGGCTCTGAGAACTGCAAATAACATCAACAAAGAAGTTGCGTGTCATTCACACAACAGCCAAGTCATCACACGTCTGTGTGTTCTCCAAAAGTCTAACCAACATCACGACACTCCTTACAGGCTTCGTAAGATTTCTCAACTCAAAATCCTTTAAGGGACTGGCCAAAGAGAGGGAAGAATCAGATGTATATACCCCAAAGAACCGTTATATACTATATGGAAGTGTCGAGCAATGAGATGCCTGAAGATCCGTGTCAATCACCAGGGACTGGAAGAAACAGCAACCAAAAGCCGACCTTCTTGGAGACAGATGTCCTCCATTCAAGTACGGCGCGGAGAAGTGGAGCTGGACTCCTGTGACTCCCGCGAGTATGAGCTGTGGCTGCGGCTGGGATCAACGCCAGTACGACGGCCCGTGAACTCGATGGAAGTTGCGGTCTGGGACTGATTAGGGCGATTGCTCTGGTGATATGAAGTCATCGGTAGCCCCGGGTAGGATACCCCGGAAAAGTCGTAAAGCTCAGATGCCGGTCGATGGGGATGATGACGCCCCGACCCGCTGCTGTCTTGGCTCGAAGAGGACGGTGAAGGCGACGCGGGCGCTTCCATCATGCTATAGCCCCGACGATGCTGGCTTTCCGGCAAACGGCCGAGATGATGCGATTGAGAAGCAGACTGGGAATGCTCAGCAAGTGACGGCGGTGCCCTCTATCGTCGTCGTCCTCATCAGACTCGGTCTCCTCATGCTCGTTGCGCCCACCCCTCTGTTTTCGCTTGCGAGGGCGCTTGTGGCAGGACCTGCAGACAGATCCAGCTCCTAGTGATGGCCCTTGCCGGGCTCTGTCACCGGCCGATGGCGAAATCGGAACGCTTTATTCCGGAAAGATTGTGGCATATGGAGCTCTCGCCGAAAATGGCGTGCGCGAGTGAGTAAATGACGACGCGCAACACGGAACCCGGCGCATCAAGTTGCACCTCGTTGCCCACCTTCCACGAGACTTCATCCCCAGTGCACCTGATACCAAACGAACCGATTCGCGAGCTCCTGGTCATACCCTGGAGCGTCAGACACTTGTGCACGCTGCCCCAGATGGCCGGCTTGATCAGATTTGGCACCGAGACGCCCGGCTTTTCGCCCACTGCCGGATCGCGTAGGAACAACAGATTGGCCGGCGTGCCGAGTGAGATGGCCAGCTGTGCCGTGGCTCGGCCTCCGTGTCGAACGGCTACGGGGCGTAGAATGGTGACGGCGGGTATCGGACCAAGCCGAGGGCATGATGAGGCGCGTGATAAGACGAGGGTTGGTCTGGATACTAAGCGCCAGACTGTTGGACGATACCCGTTGTGGGTTATGGAAAAACTGCGGGGGAGGTGGATCTACTAGGACAGAAACACGCGGCTGTGTAGTCATGCGCACCTGGGCAGCGTTGGACCGGGTTGGGATCACAGAAGTATCCTCTTCACGAGGAGCATAAGATCGTGTGCATGCCTGTGGCCCCGACGGATAACGGTGGGGCCCAGAAGCACTTGGTGCATGATGAGATCCATCGCCACTCTGGCTTCCAAAGTCGCCCCCATCACCGGAATGATACGACCGGGGAGTCTCGGGCGACCCGTTGGTGCGCCTGACCGTTGGGTCAAAGTCTTCAAAGTGCTGGTGCTGTTCTGTCATCCTTCCGACCTCTTCCGACCGTCCGACAGCAGGGGTTGGGTTCGTGAGCCACAGACATGAGAATTGCAAATACACGTGGCATAGCGCACGCGACGCGGCGGAATTCGATCGAGTTGATGCGGAAAAGAGGGAAAGGTTGCAGGTAAAATGAACTTACGTCAGCGATCAAACTTCGGAAGTAAACTCCAAGAAAGGAAACTCGTGGAAATTTCAAGCGTTTATGGGCGCAAGTGGGTGTTGGGAACGTAGCAAATTGCAGGGACCTCTGGAGAGTCCAAAAATAATCTGATAACTCATGCAAAATTACCCACAGCTCCAGGATTCTCATTGAAAACCAGGCGAACCGTCTTCTACCTCCCGCCGGCAAGATTACGGCGCCATCTGTCGGGAGATCATTGCATCTCCATGCGATCATTGATGGAGATGCTTGAGGGTGCGTGCGCCCACCGGCGAAATAATCAGCTTCCGTTACACAGGCATGTGCCTACCCCCTCGGCCATGTCCACAGACCTGATTTGTTTCTTATCAAGGTGTCCGTTGGGGAAACCCAGAGAAAGAACAAAACATCTCTTCATCATCACAATCTTCTGAAATCAAAGCGAATCCGGCGTACACGATTCAAAGCGCGACGGATCTGGTACCGAAAATAGGGCGCGCAAAGCTCTACTAGAGAGCTCGCACGCCTGTGATGACGCTGCTAGATCTCTCTCGTTACTCGCCGGTGCAAATGCCGCTTTCATCTGCAGGTCACGTTCAAGAGTGGATTTGGCGGCCCACCGCCTCATTCACAGGTCCAGAGACCACGGCGGGTGTTGACTGAAATTTAGATGCCCCATATCTGACTTACATCGAGACTCGCAGCATCGACCCAATAAACAGCACATACCCATGGATGTGGTGTGAGCCACCAAATATCCGCAACAAATTCTTCGTAATATCTTTTGGATCGGGTCACACTAGTAATTTGTTCGCTAACGCCTGCTTTTGCGTTTTGTTTGTTCAACTTACACTCACGGCAGGTAAGTAGCGTCTGCTCAAATCCCAGATCGATTCAACTTGCGATCTCTCTCTTGTCTACTAATGTGGCTCGGATCGACAAGACTCAAAGAGTGATCATCGATCATTGACAGTAGTCAATTTGACGCGATCGAAACCAACCTCGGCTGGCTCAAGTCTGCTCAAGTGCTCTCAATGGACAAGAAAGTCGAATGGTGTACGCGTTGATGACGGGTGCAGATGATCTTCCCCTACGATCGTCATCATTCCCCTGATGCGCCATCACACAACACAGCCCAACAATCAAGGCTCTGCGCTGGACTTGGGCATTGAGCGAGAGTTAATCCATAAACTGAGAACATATACGAGAGACAGGTGTTTGTAGAGATGGAGCGTCAGAGCAGAAAGTCGTAGTCGTAAAGAGTAAGGAGAGAGCCATTCCGGAGACGCAAAGAGATAATAGTTGTACGTGTATGATGCAGAGCCATTCGAATGAGCGATAGATGCGTTCGGGGTCCACTCACGGCCTGGGGATGATGCCAGCGTATTCGCCCTCCTGCACTCGGATCTCCACCACTTCAATCGATTCGTACTCTGTCAAAGCCGAGTTGGTCGAGGACACGGAGCTCGGCATGAATCCCGAGGACGAGGGCGGCGAAGTGGATGCAACATCTGACACGGATTAGACTCAGTCTGAACAGGACACACGATCCGACTGACATCGATCCTTGATGTATGGAGGAACAAAGAGGTCCTATCGGCGCATCGTCCGTTCAGCACAGGCGATGGTCTCAGGAGATGCGGAGTACAGACCTGGTTCCAAACAAAACCTTGGCTCCGCTGGATGGTCAGAATGGGGCGCAACGTGAAAACCCGTTCCCGCTGGCGCGGTTTCGGACGCGAGTGACGCTTGCGAGGGGCAGCCTCCGTCGGAGGTTCCACTGCACGCTGCTTCCCCTTCGCAAGGGACACATGGGGGTGCGAGGTGGTACTATCTCGCGAATCGGACTCGTCAGCACGCGGCGCGTCGATGTCCATCTCCATCTCGGCTGCGACGGCGTCCTCGACCGCCGCGCCACCGCCGCCGGGGTGGTCCTCCATATCGGAGTCGCTGCTCCCACTGGCGCCATCGCGGTACTCATCTCGCTGGTCGTCCGAGTCAGACTCGTCGCTCTGGTCGTCGTCGTCCTGCGGGTAGTAGTCGTTGATCTGCTCGTAGCATGCCCAGGTCGGCGGGGACGCTGCGCGGCCGATACGACGACGGAAGTTGTACGAGGTGCTACTCATGGTGCGATATGGCTATTAGACGGAAAGACGAGCGCTGACACAGAGAAAGCTGCGAACGAGCAGTGGTCGTGCGGAAGCAGTGAGGGTGCAATGAGGTCGATCGAGTCACCTCGGCTGGGATTCCGGATTGATACGATCATCTACCGCACTGATGCCGCTGATTGTGGAGCTGTTATGCGGCTGCGCGCATGTCATGAGACCTCACAACTGTCAGTCAACTCCACGATATGGGCGGCGAATTTGGAGCAGCGCAATACGCGAGCTCCCAAATAGAAGAAACCTTCGGTAATCTCAAACAACGAGTGATTGAGCAAGGTGTTGGGCCAAAGATCTGCTTTTCTCTCTGACTCTGAAGGAAACTGTAACGGTCTTCCGGTCCACTTCTGTCACCTCAGTCCCACCTGGACTGACTGGCTTGCGATTTTTTCTTTGCCCAGCTCATAACAACATAATTAAAGCTTCTCATCGCCTTGACAACATACGTTAGACAAACTCCTTAGTGTGGAGCAACTGGAGTCGCTTCCAAGCGATCGGGCGAAAATTATACCCTGCGACGGATCACAAACGACTGGGAGAGATATAAAAACTGAAGGCTCTCTGTTCTCTTTCAACAAATCAACTCACCTACCAGCCCTCACCAATAGTCACTCGCTTTACCCAACCGTCGCTCATTATCATGTTTTCCATCTCGCAAATCGCCCTCACCGCCCTCGCGTTCGCTGCTTTCGCCACCGCTGCGCCCATCGAGCACTTCCCCAAACGGGACTTGATCGCTCTTCCCGCGATCCTCATTCAGCTGTCTGTGGACCTTGCCCCGGTCACTGCTAGCCTATGTATGTCGCGCTCCGGCGTTCTTGATCCAGTTCAACTCATAATACGCTTCAGCTTCCATCACATCCGCCAATGCCACAGCGGAAGTCGTGCAGCCGATCGCTCACCAGCTCTCAACAATCTTGAGCGGCGCTGTCTCTGATGTCTCGGCCCTCGCCGGCAGTCCTCTGGATGTCGTGCTGGCCACCACCAACGGTGTCCTCGGAGCCACGCAAACCGCTCAGCTTGTCGCACCTGTGGTTCAGGTCGGTTTGCAATGCTAGCGGCTCAGGATGGTTCTTGGTGCTGACGATTGTTTAGATGGTCTTGGGCTCTGCTCAAAGCGTACTCAACGTCGCTGGCTCTACCGGTGCAGTCTCGGTCATCCAGCCTATCCTGAATGACGCACTGTGAGCCCAATCCGCTAATGTACCAAATCACCACTAATTATTACTCAGTTCGGTTGTCAACCCCCTTCTGTCTACGGGCCCCCTCTCTCCTGTCGTCAACGGCCTCCTTGTTGCGCTGGTCCCGGTGCTGACTCCGCTCACCGGGATCCTCAACGTTCTCGGCCTTGGATCGGTCATGAGATTGGTCAACTCCGTGGTCTGAGTCACGGCTTCTTGATCCCAATCCTGCTTTCATTACCCAATATCACTCAAACGTTGTGAATATATTGATACCTTCCCGTCCCGGCTTTCCATCACGTCGATAACTTCAGTGTTTTCATTCGGGGCATGGCGCTCAGCCTCTTTTGTCCTGTCCTGTTTCTCCCGAAATCTCCGTGCTGAACGCGCTGGGTTGAAGTTTGTTCCGTCTCAATGCTGGCTGCGGACGATACGAATCCCGAAACCCTCCGTGAACGCCAGTCAAGGCGGCCGGTGGAACGACTGAGTCAGGCGACGAGCCTCAAGCGCCGTTCGCCGCAGGCGCTGGCTCCTATTTCTTCGTGCAGTCCTTTTAGCTAGCTCAGTCAGATGGGTGCTGAAGCGCTGGAGCCGAGTCTCGGCACGAGCTTGCGCTTTCTCTGATTGAATTATCAGAACGGATCTAAATATACGGAGGCTCAGCAGTGCAGCAGCAACTGCGGCCGTTCATACCAAAAGAGGCCCTAAATAAGATTGTAATGCAGGACGGGACGCTCTAGTACCTTTCCTTGGCAAGTTGGAACTCCAAGCCGCGTTTCCGGCTTTGTCCAAGGTGCCCTCATCAACGATCTGAAATACCGTGTGATTTGTATAGTTTTTAGCGTGACGTGTGGATGGGAACACAGATATTCTTCCGCACTACTAGGATGCTCCCTTTACGAGATAGCGCGTCGAGAATGTGGTAATTGGATTGAAAATGCGAGAACAAGAGTTCTTGGCCTTTTTTGAGACCGTAACTGAGGATTTGCTAAAAAGAACAGGTATTTCACCTTCTGACTGGCATGAGCCTGCGCAGTGCTTTTGCCTCCTTGCTGTACCAGGGCCCATAATGCGGTGTTTGATTTGAGCTATGTCGCTTCAGGCTAGCAGGCAAAATACGCTCAATGTCATGGGAATTCACCATCTGTCTGGCGCCAAGAGAATTTATCCCTGAATAGGCTTTCGCTGGCCATGGGATACTGCACGGTTCTTCCATCAAACGAAGGTGGATACTTGGGGTGTGTGTCCGGGATGTACCGCAGGAAGGACCTTCGTTCGTCTCCGACTTTAGAGCGAGGTTGATTTTTTCAGAAGGACATTGCGAAGATTCCATATGAGCATAGCGCGAAAGATCGGCCGCCTCCATATAGACGTTATCTCATCTGACTCCCCGAATGCAAGAACAATATCAACATGATGTTCTATGAGATCACGAGCGGCGCGATCCCTGAGCTGTAGAGCACGTTCATGATTTGGCTTGGCAAAGTTGTTCCTTCGCGAAGTCGGTGGCAATTTGGATGAACTGAATTACGTAAATTAGATAGAGCCCCATCGTTCATGTGCACTGATGGAATACCTGTCCGTTAAACCGAAGCACCGTGCAGGTCTCAGGCCGGAGAGGATCCAGAAGTCTAAAGCTGCGCACGTGGGCAAAGCTCAAATAGGCTACCTATGACGTTCAAGACAGCCCTGTCAAACTGATGCGCTTTAACTCCGCATCATACTGTCTGCCAAATAGATGACAACGATTTTCGATCAAGGGCTGTGACTTGACAGCTACTACCACGACCCTCTAGCAGCGCCTTTGACCGCGCGTGCATGAAGTCTTGTGAATTCTGTAACGTGAGCAAAGAGAAGGGATTCGATATTCTCTATGAGGTAGGCTTTACCCATGCAACAGGCGAATCAGGGCTTAAATTAGTTTGGGACAGGATGATTTCTTTGTAGCATTCGGTGATCATAAGCCTGCTGCTGAGCACCACATCCAGCTAGTTCCCAAGATCCACATCAGTTCGCCGCTCCCGCTTTCCGAAGTCCGTTGGCGGCCGATGACCTTTTCAAGCTAGCGTGAGATCGTTACAGCAACGAGATGTTGAACTTGGTCAGTCCCCGTGTCTCATTGAAATGCGGGGCTACCCGGCTCAATCTTTTTCTCTTGCTAGTGCAAAGCATGAAGTCCATTGGCGCGCAGCTTTTGGATGACCTATCTGTTCCGGTCTCAATGCGAATGTGCGTGTTCCGCCATTGGACTTTGCCGAATCGTTCCGACGAGAAAGTTAGAATGGGGTTTCATATCCCCCCATTCAATTCCATTGGGCATCTACACTTGCATGTTCAGGCACTGCCGTACAAGCCACTACGACAGGCGAAATATCCCATTTCCAAGGGCTTCGGGCCGCTCAGTAAAGGATTCGGGTGGTTCGTCGACGTGGATCAGGCGATACGGATACTCAACAGCGGACGATCCATCGGTGTACTTCCTTGTTAAATCATGACGTCATTCCCGCCTGCCAGCTCTTCAGCGCTCCGAATCCTCCGCAGCACAGGTGTTGCGACGCATTCGTAACTCGACGCGATACCGGATCATTGTGGGACTCGAGTTCTCGATGCTTGCTCAATGTTTTCTCCGACTCCCGCATCAACTGAGCTTGGAATGGGAACGATGGGCGATGCTGGCAGCGACGCGCGGCCATGATCATCCCCGTGAGACCTCCCCCTGACCTGTGTTACTTCGATATATCTCCCCGATCGTGGCGCGTTAAGAGAATGGATTTCCAAATTTATCCTGCCGACCTGCCGCAGCGTGCTGACTTATTCCTGTGGTCTACCAAAACTTGTCGTAAGCCTTCCTCAGAGCCGTCACTGATTGAGCAGGCGAATGTTCAGTTCATCCCGAGCTGGTCCGGCGGCAAACTAAACCATAGAGTCCTTTCGTTTAAATACCAAGGTTTCAGCCGTGTCTTACTCCAAGGTCAACCATCCCTCTGCGAACATGTTCCCCAAAGCCTCAATCTCGAACTTTATCTTCTTGTCCCTCGTCTTGGGATTAGGCGCTAGAGCTGCTCCCGCTTCTGTTGATACTGCTGCCCACCGCTCGTCGACGCCGGCCACTTCGTCGACTGCGACCGTCGCCAGTCTGTCGTCAGTCATCCCAACTGTGCTCTCGGGCTTCGCCAGCACAAATCCCAACGGCCCGCTCTGGAGCCTCGATTCGGGCACGCCGCAGCCCGAGCGCGGCAACTTGGGCGCGTCGATCATCGGGCCGAGCAATCTGCCTGTGGAGCAGGAGAATCCCGACTTGCTGGCACCCCCGTCGACCGACTCGGGCTCCGTGTAAGCCCACTCGCCTCGGCGCTGTTGGTGGGATCTTGCTGACGCGCTGCCAGTGCCAACGCCAAGTGGCCTTTCGCGCTCAGTCACAATCGGATGACCGACGGTGGCTGGGCCCGTCAGGAGAACAGTGCGCTGATTTTCGCTGCGTCAGAGTAGATCCCGTTCTGATGGAATGACGCACAGTCGGAGCGCTACCAATCGCAACTTGTACGTCCTAATATTGCTCTGAAAGATGGCGGCTTAAGTATCTTGCACGATAAGCTATGGCTTCCGTCAACATGCGGTGAGTTTGGGCTCGTGGACAACAGGAGATACGAGACTGACTGTTGTGCAAAGGCTCGAGGCCGGAGCGATTCGGTACGATAACTGATAGTGGGCTTTCATCGCACTAAACTCTTTTGAACAGCGAGTTGCACTGGCACAAGACTTCGGAGGTCTGTTTTGATAAACTTCAAGGAGGGGAGAAAATAGATCACTGACTCACATCGGTTTTTAGTGGGCCTATGTCCTGAAAGTACGTCAGAGTCCGAATGTACTCGTTGTCACCGCCTTAACAGTCCCAGGGTTATACTCAGGTTACCGCCGTGGACACGGAAGGCCGCAACTTCCTTGCCACTGTCGTAAGCCAGCCTCTTGAGCGGGGAAGGGAATAGAATTGATTATGATGCAGGGCCCAGGTGACCTCTGGTTTTTCCCACCCGGTATCCCGCACAGTCTTCAAGCGACTAATCAGAGCGCCGAAGGATCGGAGTTTATTTTGGTTCGTTTTATGCTCCGTGATCTGAGGACTCGATGAATGGTGTGCGCGCAGATCTTTGACGACGGTGCTTTTAGCGAAGACGCAACTTTTTTGGTACGTTCTATTTTCGTTCAGCTCTTCCTCTCCCTCCCATGGATATTGGCTCACGCGCTCCGAAGTTGACCGACTGGCTTGCTCATGTTCCCGCCGAAGGTGCGCAGCCCTCTAAGCGCAAGCGAGAACTGCAACTGATGACGCTTCAAATCTAAAAAAAAAACCAGTCATCCAGAAGAACTTCCAAGCGAATCCTGAAGCCTTCTCACACATCCCCGCGAATGAGCTGTACATCTTCCCCGGCAGTGAGTGGTCGATCACATCGCATCTTATCACGTCGTATCACAATGTGATGTATCTCACTCTGCTGCACAGCCCCGCCGTCTCCGGATGCGGTCGCGCCTTCGAGCCCCCAAGGGACTGTTCCTGCTGAATTTTCTTACGCGTTCCCCCTGTCGACGATGAACGCGACCCAAGTCGCCGGTGGCACCGTCAAGATCGTTGACTCGACCTCGTTCCAGGTCAGTCACCCTTGGTGGCCTGGCGGGTTTAAAGTTCCGCATCTGACCACCCGCACCAGATCGCGACCACGATTGCTGCGGCTGAGGTGACTGTTGAGCCAGGTGCTATTCGGGAGCTCCACGTGAGTCTGACTGACTTATTTTCGTTCACGTGCTGACAGCCGCGCAGTGGCACCCGACTATGGACGAATGGAGCTTCTTCATGTTCGTACACACATACTGCGCTCTGCCCCGGCCCAAAACTCAAACCTTCACATATTGACAGCGAAGGCACAGCGAGAGTGACCATCTTCGCTTCGCAAGGTAATGCTCGGACGTTTAACTACCAGGTATGATCCATGAAATCTATCCTTATGGCTGTTAACCTTGGAGGTTACTCGTGCAGCCTGGTGATATCGGTGCGAGTTTTCCTATCGTACCTAATACTGGAGCTAAAATTGATTTCCAGGTTTCGTGCCGGCTGCCATGGGTCTGTATTATTTTTAAAGTCGACCGTCGGTCCAAGATATTAATGGCGCATCCGCAGGTCATTACGTGGAGAACACTGGAAACACGTCGGAATATTCTCTGCTCGCTACCGAAGGCGTCTAAAATATCTTTTCAGGACCGTAAAATACCTCGAGATCTTCAACACCGGTGTGTATCTGATTGGAAACTTGTCAGCAGATCCGCTCATGTGTCTTCCCTGCAGATAAATATCAAGACATCAGTTTAAACCAGGTACTTGCGCCGAATTTGAATTTAAACCGGGCTTAATCACCTGCTCAGTGGCTCGCGCTCACTCCTCCCGAGTTGGTTAAAGCGCATCTCCAGCTCTCTGATGTAAGTCGACCCCCCGTTATGGCAATCTCATCTCATCTGATCTATGCCCCGAATAGGAAACCATATCGAGCTTGAAGAAGGTCAAGCCAGTTGTCATCTAATTTCGTAGGATGGATGCACGTTGCGCACGCATAATCACTCTTCTCTGTATCTGATCTTATGACTTAATTTTACTTGAATGTTATGATCGAACTGTTGATGACAAGAGTGACCGTGACACGAATTTCCTCGCAACCGTTCGGTTGGATGCAAGCACCACGAGGTCGACGCCAATGAAGCCGACGATCCCGCGAGCCGGAAGAATTGCCTCACACTGTCCGACTCCTGCCGACTCCGTTGATGCTGGAATCCCTCGCCGCACTGGACCCAGGCATCGAGTCTTCTGCTCCACGGACTCGCTGTCCCTCGGAGAGTTGGCATTGCTCGACTCGTCGGTGTTCCATAAATGGAATCGTTCGTGCGGCTTTAGACCCGCGCTTATGCTTAGTCTCGTCTCAACCCCTTTCTAGCGTCCCATAAGTCTTGCCCGGGTCCACACACTCGGGCTGGTGCCCACTTTACTTTCTTGCGCTCGCTCTTTCTGCTTTACTGTCTCACGTATGCCTGATAGCGAAAGCTTTCCTCCTATGGATTTCGCTGAGGATGCGATGGAGCGCGCTGCGGCCGAGCGCCACTTGGTCCGAAAGCTCGATCTGCGGTTGCTTCCGACTGTGTTTATCCTGTTCATTTTGAACTTCATCGACGTGCGTTATGCAGCAGCGGCAACTGCAGCGGCATGGTCCCTCGGATCTCAGACACGGTGCTGATCTTGCCAGCGCACAAGCATCACCACGGCTCGGCTGAAGGGCATCCAGGTGGATCTGCACCTCTCAGGTCAAGCTCTCGCATGCTAGCTAGCTTCTTCTTCCGGTCTCCGGATCTGATTCGGTGTTCGATCAAAAGACTTTCAGTACGATTTTGTGCTTGCAATCTTCTATGCGACGTACGCCCCGGCTCAAGTCCCCTCAAATATGGTGCGTGACGCACGATCTCGTTTCGTCTCCGCCAGGCCTAACTGGGATAAGATTCTGAACAAGATTGCGAGGTTCTTCTCGTCCCCGTGGCACTCCCTGCTCACGCGATACCCGACTAATTAGAATCCAGGCCGTCCATTTACATCAGCCTTTGCACTATGGCTTGGGGCCTTGCCAGTGCTGTAACAGGAGTATGTTCATGTTTCTACCTTGTGTCCCCAGTCTCATCCCAGGGAAGCGGACGCAGAGCTTGAGTGGGATGATCGCTTGTAGGCTTTTTCTAGGCATTCCAGAAGCACGCCGTTTCTCCATTTTTCTTTCTTTCCGAATGACGCAGTCGTTTCGACAGGCTGCATTTTATCCAGGAAGTATGTATCCGAGTGGCATCAAGCTCGACTGCTTCTAAATATCATAAATATTATTTATAGCCGTCTACTTGCTGTCATGCTGGTACACGAAAAAAGAACTCGCACTGCGATCAGCCATTCTCTATCTCGGGATAATTTTGGCCAATGGGTTCGGCTCTGTGAGTTACTTACCTACGTATACGTTCGGTTTCACACCATGGTAACATTGAAACAGTTCATATCTGCGGGCATATTCTCGGGGATGGAGGGAGTACGAGGGATACGAGCTTGGCGTTGGTCAGTCAACTCACACTTATCAAATTTTTAACGTGCAGAAACGGGAGCTTTTAAGGTTATTTTACATCGAGGCACGTTCTCCTTCAATACTTTCCGGAGAACTCAGGCTCGACAGATATTGATGTGTCCTATCCAGGGATCCGTCACTATCCTATTCGGGATTCTGATGATGTGAGTAGGTCCAATTGCACAATTTGCGTGGCTAATGCACGCATACTAACATCATAGGTTCATTCTCCCCGATTTTGTAAGACTTGATATCAATTCACGGGATTTTTTATCGATTTTCTTGATTCCAGCCCCGGAACACTCGTTGGTTGAGCTTAACGGAGAGAAAACTCGCACAGGCGCGGATCACGGAAGATGCCGGGGAGTTGGACGCAGATAGAGACACAGACACGTGCCAAGCTACTTCGGAATCTGTGACCTCCAACGACTGAACGCTCGTGCAGGCCGTTGCGTGGCCTGAAACTGGCCGTCCAGGACTCCCTGGTGTGGCTCTTTTCCTTTTTCGGTTTTTGTAATCTCCTGGGCCAGAGCTTCGGCGCTTTCTTCCCAACGTCAGTGCCAATACTTTTTTACTATGCAGCTTCCTGCGCAGCTGAGCTTTGTGTAATGCTCGGAAGCATCACCGCAACGCTAGGGTTCAATGTCACAAACACACTACTGCTCGCTGCGTGAGTGAGCGCGTGCTGTATGTCTCGCGTTTCCTCGCCCACGCTGTTAACTAGCGCTCCCTGGATCGTGGCAGCGTGTTTGGCGTGCGCCAATGCCTGGCATGCAGGTCGGGAGCTTTTGCAACCCAAACTATGCGCTTACTGATATATCTGATACGCTCTATCTTCGCAGACCGATCGGGCGAGAGGTTCCTACACATCACGGTCTGGTGGATGTCGTCCATCGTAGGCATGATCATCTGCCTATCTACGCATGCGACGGCAGCGCGCTATTTTGCGCTATTCCTGATGGCTTCCGCATACGCTGGTTGGCACGATTCTGCGCTTGTGAAGGCAGTCCAAAGGCTGATCGCGGATCGCAAACAGGAAGTGCTTTGGTCCTCACCTGGACAGTGAACGTCGTCGCTCGACCGCCCGCGTGCATACCCCATCTCAAATCATCTGGAGACGGACTGGAATTGATGACAATTGCAGGAAACGTGCTGCAGCCGTAGGAATCGTCAGCGCGACTAACAACCTGGGAAATTGGTGTGTACTCCGCACCTGACTCAGAGAGATTACTGCATATAGTATGCTTATGCCATCCTGGAATGTTGTGCAGTCTCGGCGCCTTTGTCTGGAAAAAGACGTGGGGACCAGAGTACCGACCCGCGATGAGCATCTGCGTTGCTGCGTTCTCGGTTGCTATCATTTCTGCCCTGGGTACGCTCGCCCCTTGCGTCGTGGACGTCACCAATGCTGATAGCATGTTTGTCCCTGCAGCGGCCCGGTGCATCATCAAGCGGATGAATGATAGTCTGACGGAAGGAGCTGTCGCTTCGGGTGGTCCAGAACGCAAACGTTTATATTGAGCGATCAGGAGGTCTAGCAATCTACATGCCTACTACAGAATAGATAAGGTGCTACTGGTACTCTACATTGATGATGGTACACACATATATATACAACAAAGGATTGTCATAGCACGAGTGGTGGCGGTATCAGGCGATCCGCTGCAAGACTTGTATATGGAATTGGTGCCAATCAATGAACGCAAGAGCGTCAGCGTCGACATATCGCCACTCGACATCATCGGCGGCCTGGCTGTCCAGCTCTTCCTCCAGCCAGTGCTCGAGCTCGAGGCAAACAGGTGTCGACGGGACGAGGCAGTCTTCGTCCTGCTGAAAGTCGTACTTTTCGGGTGCGACGTAGTAGAAGGACGAGGTCCGCGAGAGAGATGGGAGCAGAGGCAGGAACGCCGGGGGATTGCTGTACACAGATGCGCGCTTAGCCGAGTGACGCCTTGAGATGATCGGGGATTGGGGCCGAGATTCATTGATAAGGAAACTAGAGGCGGCGGGGGAGGGGGAGGAGGGCAGTGAGGAAGGGAGCGCACTATGGAGGACGAAAGTCAGCACATGGATAGATAGAGTGGAATTGAAGGCACGCACTGCAGTGTCTGCGCTTCGGCAGCTTTACCCGCAGCCCTGACGCGTTCCAAAAAGCGCGCAGGAATGCCAATAATGGAGGACCGTCGACGCGTCGCCCGCGTCTCTGAGCTCGCAGTCGCGGCAGGGACCGCACTCGCCGCGGAAGCCCGACGCGAGATCGGCGTGAATGACAGGGAGTGGGAGCGGCTTGGACGACGCGTGAGACTTTGTCCCAGGGAGAGCGACTTGAAGGACGCCACGGGTGACAAAGATGGGGAGGACGTCTGGGATGCAGAGACCAGGACGCTGCCCCGTCGGCTGCGCCCCATTGCGCGCAGCCCGCTGGCGAAAAACTCGGAATAGAACCACATATTGCGTGTGGTGACCGCGCTCGGTGGGGCAGGAGATAGGACCATCGCGGAATCGTTGAGCAGACTGTGTTCAGCTATATCTGGACCGGGCCGGGGGATGGGGGCGCGGCGTTCTTCAAGGTCCGCGATGTTTAGGGATGAAAGGTTCCGTTGACGGTTTCATGAGGGGCTCTTGTTAAAAGCTACTCCAAACCCGCCCCCTGTGCTCAAGGGACCGAGGTGGATGCCTCTTCGAGCGAGGTGCCGCAGTGCGGAGAAACGGCCATGAGGGGGGAAGCATATGATACTAGGAGGAAAAACCAGCTCGTCATCATGAGGATTACAAACATCCGCCTGCAGGCTTACTTACATACCTTCGCGCGATCGGATTCGATGTGTCGTGCCGCACGCCAGATTGGGGCCCGACGTGAGACAAAATTCATCGGTTGGGACTGTCAAAGAAAGATTTGGGGCCGAGGAGGATTCTGAGCGAGTCCAGACCCAATTTGAGAGCGAATTCGTTTAGCGCGCTGTCTCCGACGCGTCGGGGCTGGGCCATGGTCAGGGGAGAGGAAAGCAGCAGCTCGCCACGGCTGCCTCGGGCCAAAACAGGGTAAACGTGGTGGAGGAGGGTTATCAGCCTGCATCAATCGATATCATGATGGCTGACTACATTTCTCAAGGTAAGTAGCTGAAACACATGTAAGTGCAACCGTGTCAACGTTTGGGCAGTTGAAGAGATCTGCACGGTTCAGTCAGCACTATTATCTAGGCCAGATTACCTACAGTGTGATTCTGTGCATCTCGTATGATGGATTGGACGCAGCACGACCCTCTAGGGAGCGGAGGCGGGTGGAAACACTGATATCGAATCACTAACCCTGAAGATCTCAGTCGTTTGGTGTGGTAAGATGCGTCTGGTTGGGATTTCGGAATCAATTTTACCGTGAAATCGGCCGGTGTCAGTCAATTCCTCGAGTTCTTGAGAGACCCCGCACAAAAGTTGTTGCATGTCGTAAAGTTTGAAGAGGGCTGAGCCAATTGAGAGTGTACTTACGCAAAATGAGCGCAGCGATCCGCCACCGCTTAAGACACATGGGCATGTGGACAACGGAACAATCAGTATCACGACTGACAGTCGGTATACTCGCCTGAAGCGACTGTGTATGTGTCCGGCAAACATCGGTGTCCATGGGTACACCATGGGTCCATGTGCTTCCGTGGGACTTTTTCCCACCGCCACCATGACATACGCCCTTCGAAGCACTGCCAGTAGCTCCTGCTGGAACACCCTGTTCCGCTCTTGTGCTCGCCGCTCCCTTTTTTCCACCAGTATACATCTCAAGGATGCCCCCACGCCTGTCCCCCCTCACATGGTTGTCAGCCTGTCAACGCTCGCAGATCTGGATGGAATCCCTCGCAGAAAGCTTCACATTGGCAACCTTCCACACGGGTTCGAACAGGGGCGTCTCGAGGAGCTCTTGAAGCGCAAGATCGGTCGCACGGACCACTTTCTTCGTCGTAAGGCAGCACCCTTCTCTATTGTATGACTGGTTCTGAATCCTTGACTCCAGTCGAGAGCGAACCTCGAGGAACAACTGAAGCAGCGATCGTCCGCATGACCGATATCGTGCACGCGCGTAAAGCCGTGGAAAAGAACTTGAAACTGCACTTCGAGGACCGACCGCTCAGCATCTCGTTTTCCAAGCTCCCGTCCAACGACACGCCGCTCGCATCACGGGTGCTCCTCTCGCCTCTCCCGGGGACCACCACCGATCACGACTTGTGGGCGTTCTGTGCAACTCAGACTGCTCTCCGGGGGATCAACCTGCGCGACATACGCATCAGGCAGAGTGTGCGCGACACGTCCCGGTACATCGGCGTGCTGTTCTTCGCTTCTATCGAGGATGCTGTGAGGGCGTATGTGCGCATGATGGACGAGCCGCTGCAGCTGGGCGGCCAGGAGCTGCGGGCCCATTTTCACTATACGCACGGTGCGGACGAACGGCCAGTACGGGAGATGTTGGACCCCACGCGCTCGTTGTACTTCTATCACTATCACGGTACTCGGAAGGCCCTCGAGCACAAATTGAAGAAGTGGGCCAATGGGCGGGTCCATTACAATCTCACGTTTAGTATGTGTTCTCTGCGGTGTCCCGGTGCGGCAAAGCTCCGAATGGCTGACGTACGTCCTCAGTGAAAGCACCCGAAACAGGGACTGACAACGGATCTGGCTTCATCCAATTCTTCACCGTCAATCAAGCTACAAAGGCCTTGCAGCAGCTCCGAGGCACGATTGTTGATGGACAAGTACTCAAAGTGCATTACGCCAATAATGCAAACAGAACTCGCCCATAGTCCGGATGGTGGATCGCTGACGGTCCTGATAGAGGCCAACACTACTACCAATACTATGTACTACTACTACTACTACTACTACTACTACTACTACTACTAATGCAATGTACAGTATATGTATATACCACACCGCGTATGACTATCGAACACCTGATTTCCGTGGTTTCCTGAACCGAAATGCAAAAACGGTGGGAGGCGGGACGACCCGATCGGTCGCTGCCAACTGCTTGAGCTGCAGGAACTTGGGCTGGGGAGGAGACGTCACGCGCCCAAGCCTCGATTTGAGTGCAGTGACTTGTCGCTCGAGCGCTTCGATCCTCGCACGCAGGATCTCGTTCTCTCCTTCTAAAACAGCCGAACCCACCCCCGCTTGCACTCCCATCTCTTTGTAAACTGGCCTCGGTGTTTCCTTGACGCGACGCTTCAGCACTACTGGTGCTTTTACTTGGGTCCGGAATGACGACTCGGAAAACAACCGGTCGCGAAAGTACGGCCGGGGACTGGAGCCTGGGCTCTGGAGGTCGATCGGTGAGAAGAGCGGAGACATCTCGGAGAGATCCTCTTCCAGAGTTGTCGGCGAAATGGGTATGTCCAGATGCAGCTGGGGTGGCAGTACCGCTCGCTTGAACAGCTCGAGGCGATCGGTTTTTGGGACGTCGGAGAACTGCAGCAAATCGTAGTCCGGACTGGAGTCTGCCACGGGTGTATCGGCACAGGTGGCGAAAGCGTCTGAGGTGATGTGCTTCTGGGATGGAGCCTCAGAAACGGGGTCGCTGTGCTCCGCACTAATGCTGTGGCTGACTGCTGGGATATGGTTCGGAGACGATGGAAGGGGGACAAGCTCTGGATCGACGATGGCACCAGCATCAGCAGTGCCCAAGGCTGATACTGGCACACAGCCCGCCTGCATCGAGCCGAAGGCACCGGAAACACTCAATGTTTGCGGGAGGGTGTCAGGTCCATGGAGGGGAGCAGGCGCTTGTGCATAAACTGGGTCACCATGCGTTTCGACCGGGTGTAGAGGCGCTGCAGGCGGTGGGGAAGGGGGAAGGGGAATAGAATCAAGGGAAATGGGTGGCGAAACGCGAACGGGAGACCCTGCAGTTCCCCTGACATGAGCGATCGTAATATCAAGATGTGAGGTCGCGGAGTGAAGCGTTACGTGCTCTGGGGCAATGGACAAGTCGGTGGTAGTACCACGGTCCTCCACCGTGCGCTTATCTTCATCCCCGTCCTCCTCCTCCTCCTCCTCCTCCGCATCTGGCAGCGACTCGGCATATGCTTCCGCAGGTAAGACACCCTTTTGCACCTTCATCATCTCGGCCTTCATCGTTTCATCGCCTTCGGCGAGCCTAAATCCAAGATGGGTTAACATCCATCAGCTTTCTAGGAAGAAGCTAGAGCTCACGCTTCCAGCACGAGTGGGCCCAGGCCTTTGAACGCGGCACCAGAAACATTGAGGACACGTGTGTAATTGGCCGTTTTGTGTGCTAGCGGATGAGGGATCCGCGTTAGGATCTCAGACAGAGCAATTGGTGAAAGTGTCGTTATCTGAGTTGCGTGAGACAGTAGATCGATGTTGTGAGGAGTTGGTACTGACTGGAGTGATAGGTGTAGTCGGTGTGGAGGGCACAGATGACGAGGCTGGGCTTGAGCTTAGTAGCAGAGGGGTTTCGGCATCCCATGGAGAAATAGCGGGGGAATCATCTTGGAAACCTCACTGTCAGACGGGTGGAAAGACAGGCCAAGGTGGGCACGAACCGAAGTCGGTTGCAGTTCCCTCGAGGTCAGAGTCGAGTTCGAGGTTACCCCCGGGAATCAAGAATCGCACGCTTCGTTTGGAGCTCGAAGCGGACATGTGGTTTTACTTGGCGGGGCGCAGTCGAGTGTGGATCGGGTATTGTTGATGCGTGCCGCAGCTGGAGTGGAGGTGGGATGTGGGAGAGAAGCGTGGGGGCAACCTGCGCTTCATATCTCATACAGAGAAAGCATGCAGCCCCCACGTGCGGTGGATACATGCAGTGCCTCGCCGGGGACAAGGTGTGAGACTGCTATATATATCGAATGGAGCGCAAGTTTGCGGCATGCGCAAATGTCTCTCACCATCGTGAGCTAAAGTGAGCGAGAGCAGAAGGCTTTTCTCCAGCAGTTGAAGCAAGATCTCGGAGAATAGAAAGAGACTGGTGACGAGCGAGCAATTCTAAGTAGACGATGATCGTAGAATGGGGTTGACTGTTAAGGGCAATTTCCTGATTTGGCTAGATGACATCGTGACGCGTGCATAGGTGTAAACAACGCGGTCCACGCGCGCTACTGTGATGTCAATCGATCTCTGGGCTGTGCCAGAAGTTGCAATTGCCTATTGCAGTCATACCCATAGAATCTGAGACTGGTTTGGATTTGTCTTGTGTCTCCTTCTTATGCTTCGGTCCTTAGTTCGGTGCACAAGCCTCACCGGAGTAACGACGACTGTCTGTATTGTGATCACATCTTCCGACGATCAGGACCCACCAAACATAACACAGCGAGAGCTGATTTCATGCGGTCGATGCTTTGACTGATTGTTGACTATTGAGAAAGATGTACCTGAGGCCATTCATCCATCAAGTAATCACCTGAAAGCGCATGTTGTCTGACCGGCTTGGGTCGGACTCACACCTCAGTTTAGAACAGGATTTAACAGCTACGGCATCTTTCTTGCAAATGGCATCATCCAGCGTCAGCCCTGTCGCTCGTTGAGCGATATGCCGCGATTGAGGCCGATGATGATTACAGACCCAAGCTTTCTCTCAAGGCTTATTGAGCACGATATGCAAAGGCAGATGTTTAAATCAAGTCAGCAGAGTCAAGACAGGTATCTGGACTCAAGTGTGCGTGGGACTGAGTGGGCCGAAATACTCGTCATCAACCTTCCGCTACTGTTGCTGGTTGTCAGTGCGGCATTCTCGCCCGCACTGTGTGATCTCGATGTCCTCCGCGGGCGCCCGTTCTTCGGCATCGCAGGGTCCTCCACTGGCGCTCAGAATATCGCCGCGGCGCTGTGGCATATAGCCAGGAAGTTCTTGTAAGCCAAGTGCAATCTATTCCTTGAGCCCCCGAGAAGAGCGAAGGAAGCAAGCGATGCTGACCTCAAGGATACGCGAGCAGATGAAAGCAAATTGGAGGTCGAAGATGTTCCGGCCTATGCGGGAAAGGTATCCTGGAGCGAGGCAGCTGCATCGTTTCTCTGTCGTAAGTAGACGGATGCACTGCGGTTGAGTATGCGAGATCCGCAAGCAGCTGTTCACCGGATAGTTTGGTCCAGCCGCAGGAAATATAGTGTTGGTCTCAATGCGCGATACCCAACACTTGCTCAACTCAAGAGGATGAAAAAGGACGAGGTCCGCGGTAGGGAGAAGGAAAGGAAAATTGCACAGCCACGCACTTGCCTTGCCGCCTTACCTTCAGGATCTTCGTTTTTTCATACATACGTCCAACCAGGCGCCGCTCACCGCACTGTAAATCCGGTATTTTAGAAACTAGCTCTTCTATTGCATGAAATATTTCCAGACACGATATACGAATCCGAATGCTAACTGAGCATGCCCGATCTTACACCCACACAACTTGACCCCAGATTCCAGAGGCAGCGGGCAAAACTCAGGCCCTCGGGGCCCCTCCTTCTCCTTCTATGTGCAGCACTCTCTTTTAAGCACTGACCGCCTTCACTGTCATTGACCTAAGCTGGGGAACTAGCACGGTGTCTCTCGTCTCTGGATCGTCATGACCCCACCCTCGTCTTCCTCGGTTGCAACCAGTGGTGCTCGAGCCACTCGCATCTCGAACTCGGTCTCTTTCTTTCCTCAAAGGTCTTCCCCATCATCCTGGCTACCTGTGCATAAACGACGATCGTCAATCATTGCTCTGCCAGCTCGACTACTCGAGCGCATCTCACCTCTTGCCCCGGCGAGCCGGGCCCGCGTTGTTGTTTTTGTGCAGTATGTTTCCCATTCCCGTGTCCCCATCCCTGATCCTGATGATATCCCATCCATGATCATCCGTATCTTTCACTTCACAGCGACCCATTCAATGCCTCACCAAACTCGACTTCATACTTTGCCTCCGAAGCCGAACCGCATTTTCACTCCAAACCGATCCATTCGCCAGCTGAGATCAGACGGCCCGCGGAGGCGCAGCAGCAGTCGATGCCGAGCCATCGCACCCGGGCTGTCTCGTTTGCGTCAGCGACTCCGAGTCCGCCCCCTCGGGCGCACAGCCGTCCATCCTTGCCGCCACCGCCGCGCTCGTGCACGGAGTCCGTCCACATGGCCGCCGGCCCGAATTTCTCTGTGCCCCGCACGGACGAGGATGAGCCGTGGGACGAGCCGTGGTTCATTCCCTCGTCTCACGACGAAGATGGCGAGGAGGATGGGAATGGTGTGGCTGCTATCGACTGGCGACAATTCCACATCAATCTTTTGCACCGTTTGAAGTGAGGTCTCAAAAGGGTTTCGAGAATTGAACTAAAATATAAGATGCCGACCGCACTTGCTTGTTTGTTATTAATGACCGCGTAGGTTGTAGATGCTTTCGATATGACTCTTATTCTACTGTTACTGCCATAAAGTTACGCAATTGAGCAATACTTGGATTCTTTGCAACTGGTTCTATCCAGAACCTTACAATCATGTGCCGTAAGACGATCGGTCGCCTGCTTGTGCTTGTGTGCCATGTCACAGCCACTAATTACGTTACTCCTTCCTTCTCCTGCCTTTTGCTGCTGCCCACTGGCGACTAGGGGATGTCGTTGTTGGCATCCTAACTGTATCGATTCCGAGACACGCCCCCCTGATTTATTCTATTCTATTCCTGGATCGACATCGGCGCAACCACTCCCAAACAATCTTTGTGCACCCTGCAGATATCCGCTCTATCACATCTAGCGACCGAGAGCCAAGACGGACGAACTTTTCCAAAGTCAAACACAAATTCAAATTCAAACTCTAGTGTGGAAGCTGCGATACGATTGCTACAATGGCTGCCCGGCCGGAACCGATGAACGCGACATCAACGCACGCGAAGCTGAAAGTGAGCACGACGCTCGCGCGGGAGAACGCAGCGCACGTCGCGGGGGGATATGTTACAGGCCGGCTAGAAGTGGACGCTCTCGCAGACAAGGATCTCGGTATCGGCGTCATCATGGTTGAGCTGGTTGGCGTGCAGGGTGCGTTTCTACCCGTCCGCATCCCGCTCCTCACCCAGAAAGCTAACAAGACAACGACACCCCCCGCAGAGCTCACCTCGCGCGACCACTCCGCGACATCGACGTTCCTCCACTCGCGGCGGCTCTTCCAGGGACCCGGCCTGCCGCCGTCGAACGCGGTGTATCCCACCCCCATTCCCGGTGCCACGCCGCTCCCGCCGGCATACCACCCCGCGCGCCGCGGGCGCAGCACGTTCTTGTTCCGGATTCCGCTCCCCCAGACGAGCCCCGCATCGCTCGTGTTCGGCGGGTCCCTCGCGCGCGTGCGGTACGAGCTGCGTGCGAGCGTGGGTGTCGTGTGGCGGGGCGAAAGGCGGGAGGTTGTGCAGCGGCGGGACGTGGATGTGGTAGAGCACTACAGCGAAGAGGAGGAGGGGCAAGCTGAGGGAGATGGTGAGGCGGTGGTGGTGGGTGAGAATGGAAAGATATGGGCCCAGGGCCGGGTTGTGGGTGGGGTTGTTGTAGCAGGGGAGAGCGCGTGCGTTGAGTTGCAAGTGAAGAACCATTCGAACAAGAAGGTTTGTGACATTTCTCTACCTGATCTATCGCTGGAAGTGACATTCTCTCCGCAGAACACAGGGCTCGTAGTGACGCTGACCCGATCGCTGGTGCTGCCGACGGGAGAGCCGGGTCTGCAGATCAGCGACACGTTAGTGACGGTGCCGTTTCGAACACAGGAGTACGTCATTCCACCTGGCGCAGAGGGTGTCGCCAGTCTCGTGTTTGACGTACCAGCGCATGCCCGTGGGGTGCGCGGTGGGGTCTTTCACGGCGACAAGGGCGGGAAGAGCACCGAGTCGATTTTCGTGGTGCAATGTGTAGTCGGCGTGCGGATCACGATGGGGCTCGGGAGGTATGTCTCAGTCTGAATCTTTATAACGTCACTGATGAAAGAGTAGCAAGGACTTGGAACTGAGCCTGCCTGTACGGGTTGTCCATCCTGCCGCCCTCCCCGAGATAGTTGCGCCACCCCCACTGCCACCACAACCCGTGTATTCGCCGCCAGGACACGCGCAGCCGTATGCTGCCGTGCCTCCTTACCCGATTCAATCCTACCTGCCTTATGGTGCACCGACACCGATGCCAATTTCGATGTCACCGGTACCGCCTCCCCAGCCATGGTACGACGTGCAACATGGCCAGGTGTGGTTCCCGCCTCCACCTGTGCAGCAGATGTACTATGCACCCACGCCACCACCGCGCCCGGCAAGTGCCGGAGACCGGCCCGCCGAGCCACCCGCCGCTGTTCCAGGCGACGAACGTGGAGAACGAGCGTCTCGGATCGCACAGCATCTGCGGCAATCGACGAGAAACCGTTCTGCGTCGCCGCTTTCGAGTAACCGGGCGGCGATGCCGATGAATCCGATCTCGCAGCCCATGTCCCTGTCGAATCACATCCCCCTCATGTCGGTGTCAAATCCTATGTCGAACCCGATGCCTCCACCTCCTATTTCGATACCACCACGAGCGAGTCTGCAGCTGGAGCCCGTGTCACCTCGGCCTTTGTTGAGCCCCAAAAACTCGTTTTCAGATGATCGGGAGTTCAAGAGTGTGCGCGTCGAGGCGCTGGAGCGGATGGCTGATGAGGTGGGGCGGACGGCGGTGGATTTGTCTGGTGATCTGCCCATCGAGAAGGACGTTGTGTTGTTGCCTAAAGAAGAAGTGAACATCAACAAGACGCTACCGGGACCTCCGGTCCCCAGCGGCAAGTTCATGCGCCCGGTGTTAACGGATGGGGAGCCGACTGAGAGTGGGCTCGATGCGCTGGAGCGGCGCCTGATGGCCGACGTTGGGACCCGTGTTAAGCCCGTTTCAGTGGAGCGGCCCGATGTGCGGGCCGTTTTGGCGATGCCCTTGGACATCCCCAAGCGCGAGGAGCCCGAGGTTGACTCGGTGATATCTAGTCTCACACTCGCAGGCGAGGGCGCTGCTGAGCTTGAGCGGCGGGACGCGGAGACGGTCCGAGGGCCAGATTCCGGGGAGAACCGGAGCCGGAGCAAAGGCAAGAAGAAGACCAAAGCTGCGAAAGGACGTGTGACGGCGTGGCTGGGCGGGCTGGAAGCCGAGGAGGTCCTCGAGGATCCGCCGAGCCCCAGCCCGAAACTCGAAGAGACACCCGATCCACGCTCGTCAGGGTTCGTGTCTGTGCAGACCTTCCGCAGCCGGATCATAGGCTCCCGGCTGACCGCCACAGCGCGTAACCCCAATCCAGCAGACGAGGCGAAACGGGTCGCCGATCTTTGGCAGAACGAGTCGTTGCAACAGCCGTCCAAAGCAGAGCCGGCAACGCCCGTCATCGTGCCTGCGCCGTCGAATCCGTGGAAATCGAGTAGAGGCGCACTGAATGTAGATCCCGAAGTGAAGTACGACATTCGCTCGGCGCGTGGGGGGAGAGGCGGTCGGGTCACAGCAGCAAAGGAAATCTGGGCGTCAGGTGCGGTGTTTGACAAGGCCGCCTCGGCTCAGCAGAAGCAGAAGCCTGCGATCCTGCCCCCGCCCACATCGAAGACGGCCGCCAAGCCGACGGCGCCGACACCGAAATCATCTGCCCCGGTGCCGCCAACAATCCCGAAAGTCATGTCGCCGCGCTCGCCGCTCGCCAAGCCGGGGGCAAGCGTGCCCGCGGTGTCTTCGTCGTACGCGCGCCCGACGATCAGCAGCACTTCATCCCTGGCGCGTCCCGTTGTCGCTGCGGCAGGCAGCGGTGATCCGGCCTGGAAGCGCGTTGGGCGGGGTGTCGCCGCTGGGCCGGTCAAGATGCCGGACGAGGCGACCACGAGCAAGAAGCCGGAGTTGGCGTTTGGGCAGGCGCGTCTGAGAGATTTGATCAGCAAGTATCAGACGCAGGCGGGGTGAGGTCCTGTCAATGTAATATAAGATAATGGCGGCGGCGGCTGGTGTATTCGCCGCGCTGCCACTAACGAACACTCACGACGCATTGCATTCCATGTCCATGATTTCTCCAGTATCTGCATATTACTTATCTTGCTCCGTATCTTTATCGACACTCGGTGTTTCCGCATTATACATACATAGTTACTACCAATAGCACATGCCAGCATGAATTTTCAATAAGCTGCAGAGTATGGTACAGTCAGGCGGCAGCAGGCAAGGCAGCCTGTGCTGTTGTACTTATAACGAAATAAGAGATGTCCTCTGTGGAGGTGCATCTGCTCAAAAGAAAGGGCAAGCTATCTTGAGCAAGAAAGTTTGGATACGGGGAATCAAACCCTGGCCTATTTGCGTCCAAACACTGTTACCCTGCACTAATGAGAGGCAATAATGTTAACCCAAAATTCCTATCAATTTTGAGATGGCTTGTGCTCATTTTGTACTTTCTCCCCTACTGCTTTGGCCTTCTCCCTACAAGTGTGGTCTGCTGCTTAGCTGCTGTGTAGGCTTATGATGCCTTTTGGCTCATTGGTACCACCCCTTTTCCCAGTTGGACATTGGTGCTTGCCTCTGATGTCTTCATTGGCTGGCCTGGCACCAGTTCTTGTGCCTGGCCACTGGGCTCCTCCAGAATTGATGGCACCTCTATTGTCTGAACAGAGAGGCACAATGTGTCATAGTTCAACCCTTTTTTCATCTTATCATCGACCATCTTATCTTATCTCGTTATCTCGGCACGAATTATCTTATCACGGATCAAGGCATCCGACGGTCCGGACTAGGTATTCCAGGGATTATCTTCATCGATTCGAGGCTGCGCGACATATGCTCCAGAAGGTTCTATTACAACCCATGACCAGTGCTCCATGCGGTACATAGCCTTATGACTCATTAGTTGTAGATATGACTCAGACTGGATTTGGGTATAAATACTGTAGCTACTTGGTTGTATTCTCCAGTCTTCGAATTCACTTCTCTTTTCGACTTATTTTTGGGTTGATTGTCACATAATTTGAAGACTCCCCTCATACCCTCGTACCTCTTACCTCCTACCCTGCTCCCTGCACCGCTACGCCCGCTATATCCTCTTCACCCTTATCACCCCACTCACCCTTTTACCGAATCATCTAGTCGCTCGCTGTGATCGCAGCGAAAGGTTCATATCGAGCAAACAGCACCAGGCCACGGGTAACGTTGAGCCCGACCCAAGCCTTACGGTAGCTACAAGGAGTGCTGCGGAGACCTTCGGGAAAACGCACCTCGGGATCATCAGGCACGTGAAGAGCTAGGCCCGGGATCTTTTTGCTAGCAAAAGAACCTTTCCTCGAGTGCTTGTACAGCACACGAATCCACCATTTCGTACCGATTCCCATCGTCGTCTGGGAGTCCATCCCCTCCCCCCATCGTACCATCGTTGCCCGATCTGGCGCATCAAAACGAACCCGGGCCCTCCAACCCCTATCTCGCCCTTCCGCCGCCTGAAGAC